TGACATCCATCAGGAAGTGCAGTGCCGTCCTCAGAGGGTTTGTTCCCCAATACAGGCAAAGGTACCAAAGGAAACACAGCTGATGCCCAGGAAGATAGCAGATGGCTACAGCAGGCGGCCATATTCACCACAGCAACAACAGCTGCTGTGCATAAATTATGTTTCTGTGTGTGTGTGTGTGTGTGTGTGTGTGTGTGTGTGTGTGTGTGTGTCACTGTGGCAGGCTTGCTCTAAACTCCCTGTATAGCAGACTTTTGAATGTCTCTGATGCCCCTGCCTGTACCACCTGAGTGCTAGAGTGACACATATTGTTACCATGCCTGCTCCCAGGGCCTCGTGTATCCTAGGCAAGTGCTCTATCCAAATGAGCCTAGCCCTAATTATTCTTGAGCGTGCCTAATAGTTGTAGATAATTATAAATTCAGGTATGATTTAGTCTTCTAATACATAGTATAGTTTGTTTTTGTTTTGCTTTGGATTCTGAGACAGTCTCTCTGTGAAACTCAGGCTGACTTTCAGTTTGTCATCCTCCTGCCTCAGCTCTGAGAATTGAAATTGCAGCTACGTACCACCATGCCTGGCTCCCAGTATGCACTCTGATGATGTGATTACACAATTAGCCTTGTATCTGATCAGCGATGGCATGGAGTTAAATGATACCTACTAAGGATCGACGCCTTAGCAGTTATCACTAAAATTTTATGCTGTTAGTATCATCATTTTATTTTTATAGTGCTGAAAACTAAATCCAGGGCCTCATGTGTGCCAGGAATGTGTGCTACCACTGAGCCACAGCCCTGCCACTTTTTTTTAAGATTTATTTTTATTTTATGCGTGTACAGGTGTTTTGTCTGCATATATGACTACGCATCATACGCCTGAGAGGCCAGAGAGGGCATTGGATCCCTGGGAACTGGAGTTAAGGATACTTCCGAGACCATGTGGGTGTTGGGACTTAGACCCAGGTCTCCACAAGAGCACCCATGCTCTCAACCACTGAGCTGTTTCTCCACACCTCTCTTGTTGTTGGTTTGGGTTTTGAGACAGGGTTTCTCTGTATAGCCCTGGATATCCTGGAACTTGCTCTGTAGATCAGGCTAGCCTCGAACTCACAGAGATCCACCTGCCTGAGTGCTGGGATTAAACGAAACAACAAATCTGTCATGTTACCCCTACAGTCATCTGATATTTAATAATGGGACACGTTCTGAAACACGCTCTTAGGTAAATTTTTGTGCAGATGTCATAGCACCCATATGTAGAAGCCTCAGTTGAAGGCTAGACGATGTCATCCTATGGGACTACTGTTGTGTGTTCCACTGCTGCACGATCTACCACCAAACGAAGCCTTGCTTAGTGTCCATTGTGGGGCTCTATTGTTACTGCTGGGTTTACGGTGTATGTTCATGTGCACATATGTGTGCATGTGCGGAGGTCAGAGGTCAACCAGGTACAGTCCCTCAGGAGTACTCCATCCTAGTTTTTGCTTTTTCTGAGTCTGGGTCTATGTCATTCTCTGACTGTTGTGGAACATACCATACAGACCTGGATAAACTCAAACGCAAGAGATCAAACTGCCTGTGCTTCCCAAATTCTAGGATTATAGTCATGTGGCATCATCACACCTGGGTTCCACCTTAGCTTTTGAGATGGACTCTCCCGCTGGGGCCTGGGGCACACTGTAGCCTAGGCTGGCCAGCCAGCAAGCTCCAAGGGTTTGCTTGTCTCTGCTCCTCCCCCCAGGACTACAAACAAGCAGTATCATGACTAGCTTTTCCTATGGGTAATGAAACTAATTCAAGTTCAAACATGCTGTATGCTCCTCAGACTGAGCCTCCTGCCAAGCCCCCTCATTTGTTTTGGAGACAAGGTATCAATTCTGTATCTCAGGCTGGCTTTGAACTCATGACAATCCTGACGCCTCAGACTCCCAAATATAGTGAGATAAAAAGCACACGGCCTCTTGTTAACCATAAAGCTGTGGTCTCAACTCCATGTCAACTGGTGTTGCCCATGGATTTGTGCTCTCTTTACTTGGGTTTGTTTTTTGTTTTTTGTTTTTTTTTTTAGTTTTAGCCTTGCTCTCAGAATCTGAAAGGCTGTGTTATGACCATGGAACCAGATAAGGAATTAATGCACGAAACTTCAAAGGTTATTTTGATTGTCCATTGACACATGAACCTGTTTCTATGTTCACCTTCAGTATTTGGCAAGCAAAGGTACTCCCGAGGTCAAGCACACTCAACCTTGGCTGGCTCTGGTTAGCAGGAGAAAGCACACTGGGGCAACACTGCCTTTAGCATTTGCTGTGGCAACAAATGCAGCCCTGCAGCTGAGCAAGCAAAAACACAGGCTTGAGGGACTGACTGCTAGACTTGGGACTGAAAACAAGCACCTTCATGTCACATGAACACACACACCTACACTTTTTTGGGTTTTGAAGACAGGGTCTTGTTCTGTAACTCCAGCTGACTTGAATTTGCTGTGTAGACCAGGTTAGCCTCAGACTTGTACTGATCAGCCTTTTCTTCTCCCATGCTTGGATACCACACCCAGTTGCTTTTCTGTGCCTTTGTGGTGCTGAGGATGGTTCAGCTTTGGGCTTCACAACAGAATCCACTTACGTGAGTGAGGAGGAGTTTCTTGGGTCGGAGAAGCTGTTCAATGTTTAGAGCAATACTGCTCTTCCAGAGTTCAGTGCTGGTACCCAGACCCGACAGCTCTCCAACACCTACAACTCTGAGCTCTGACCCCAACTTCTGGCCTCCACAGGCACCTGCATTCCTGTGCACAGCCATATACATACACATAATAGTAGTAATAACAATAACAACAATAAAATGCCCAGGTGTGATGGTGTATACCTCAGCACTCTGGAGCCTGAGCCAAGTGGATCTCAAAATAAGCAAATCTTTTTAAAGAGGTGGGGGGGGGGTGGATAATACCTCCTTTGCTAAGGACTAACTTGAGGAACCTAGGTTTGCTGTTCAAAGAGATATACAATACCAGGAGGGTGTAGTGTATCTTCTATTTTCTCAGACCAGATGGGGCTGGTCTCCAGGGGATTGACAAGGACTTTTTTTTTTTTTAAAAAAACACAAACTCAGGCTCTCTATGCAGACTTTAGCTCTGAAAGGCTACCTAGTTTCTGACATGCCTTTCACATGAAGTCACTGGTTCTAAGCTCTACTCTTCTCCCGTCTGCCCTGGTAAATTTGGGCTAAGCCAGATAGTGGTGGCACACACCTTTAATCCCAGCCGAGGTAGGCAGATCTCTGTGAGATCTACTTGTCTAGAGAGAGAGGAGTTCCAGGACAGCCAGGGATACACAGAAAAGCCTTGTCTGGGGCTGGAGGCTGGGAATGTAGCTCAGTGGTGAGGCCCTAGCACAGCATACAAAGCTCTCAGTTAAAATAGTACATTGCAGGACTGCATCCAGGACTATAACTGCCTTCAAAGAACTGTATTTGAAACCATGAGTCTGCTTTGTCTTTTGAGATGTACAGCATATATAACTCCAGCGAACCTTCTAACCAGGAGGAGCACTAACAAACCAGTAAGGTCAAGTTCTAGTAGACGTGTCCTGGGAAACAGCACCCGTTCCCAGGGAGTTCCTTCTGAAGCAGTATACACATAGCTCCCACTTCTGCCCAAAAGCTACCGTGAGACAGGGACCGCCACAGAAGTCAGAGCTGGTACGCTCTTGATCTTAACACAAACCTGTTACACACTAGAAAGCACACCTGCCTATTCCTACCCTCCACAGTCAACACTGCATGGGGCCAGTCCCTACTTCCGTCATGGATGGCTTTCCTCAATTCCACTCTTATAAAGACCAGGCCAACCATGAAGACCAGGTGTACTCTAAGGACCCCAGTGGCACCATGTCTCCAAAGACAAACTGGATCTTATACAAGGCAGTAGCTTCCTAAAAAATACAGCATACTTACAACTGTGGAACTGTAATGGCCTGGGGTCACAGAAGGGTAGAGGGAGCTTCAACCCAGGGTACCTTCTATATGAAGACAGCAGGAGTTAACTACTACTTCCCCCTCCCAACCTAGGGCCATAAAGCTGGCTCCCCGACCATCAACCCTAGCTGAAATGTACTATCCTGACGGTTATTAGGTCTCACTCTTTGTTTGACCTTGTAAGGCTCCACCCATCCCACCCTCAACCCTACAGCCCCAGAGTCTAGAGATGAAGTCTCTCCCTTGCCTGGTCAATGGTGAATGGTCACATGAATACTTCTGCACAGACCGTGGCCACCTCCCCCATCACACACACCAATAACCCAAAAGCCAGTTCTCCGCAGCTGTTCCCGGGTGTGTTCATTGCCCCCACACGAACTGCTTGCACATACCTGCGCCTAGGTAAGCTTCCCCCCCCTCCAGTCCAGCTTGGTGTGCAACAGGCCTGGGTACCCAGAGGGAGAGGTCGACTCAGGTGGTGTACGAGCAGTAGAGAATAACCAGTTCCTAACACGCCCCATCACTTACCAGAGTAGGAAGCCCTCTAGCAGGAAAACCCCCTCCCATGAACCAGTTACCGCTCCGCTCGGTCATGTGTTCAGACGCCGACTGCAGCTCGCTTCTTACTGCCCAAGTTTCCAGCACCACCTGATCCCCCGGTGTGGTGGTCCCCCTCATTCTCACACAGGCAAGAATTTGGGGAGAGGGCTATCACACCAGGCATAAAGGTCACTCCTGGGACCTTATGGCACAGGTAAATAAGCCCGTTTTAAACTTGCAGTGTGTTATTTGTTCATAAAAATAGGTAATAACCTGGGCTAACAGAATGGTTCGGTGGATCAAGGCGCTTACCCTACAGTAGGAGTCTGACACACTAAGGTAAAGAGCTCCATCCCCACAGGGTACAATCAACTCCACAGCTGTCTTCTGACCACACCCACACTGTGACATACAAGTGCACACACAAATCAGCTTTAAAAATTGAAAACAGTGAGATCTGGAGTAAGATCCAAACACAAATTTCAATTTTTTTTTAAAAAAATTTTACATTAATAAATAATGTTACAGAAATATACAATATGCTGGATATGGTGGTACATGCCTGTAATCACAGCACTTGGGAGGCTGAGGCCAGCCTGGGCTACAGTGTGAAATTTTGTCACACCCTCACCCTATCCAAATAAGCCACAAATTCTTATCAGAAAACCAAACAGCCTCGAGTAGAACAAATCTCTTTAAGTAACAACCACAAGCAAGTGCTTGCTGTCAGTTAAGGTCCACTAATTTCTCTTAATTCTCTTTGATTTTCCCCGCTGGTCGTCTATTCCGCTCTCGGCAGGTCGCTTCTTCAGCCCCTCCATCTTCCTCGTCTGCAGTTTGCTTAGGTCTTGCTTCTGCATATGAATCCTTCCAAACGTCGTACCAAAGGTATCCTGAGAGATATTCTTTCTCTTCTTTGGCTATAAAACAAGAGGAAAAAAAAAGTGTGTGTATGTATACTTATATACACACATATATGTATCTATGTAATTTTTAAAATGGCTTTCACTATATAAACTCAGTAACAATTCCTACTGCGAAGCCCCTCAGTGGCATAAAGGACACAACTTCACACACCTCTCTTATCTGGAGAGCATGGGGCTTTGTTAAAATGCAAATTCTCATTCAGAGCCAGCACTGGTCTCTGCCCCATGTCCAACAATGCTGCCATCTGGGTAAAGTGTCAGGCCATCTGGCAAGAATCAGGACACACAGACCACTGCCGTGTACCAAGACACTTTGCCAAATTTAGCTTCAACCTGTACTAGTATTCTAGAGTTAAATCTCTGTTGCTTTAAAAAAAAAAATTTAAATGTTATTTGTGTGTGAACGTGCGTGCGTGCATGAGTGTGTGTGCGTGCCCAAGGGTCCGTGGAGGCCACCAGGCGCTTACTGAGCCACCTGATGCGGATGAATGCTGGACTCAACACTCTGGTCCTCTGGAACAGTAACAAGTGCGTTCAACCTTAGGCCTTTTATTTGTGCCTGAGACAATTTAAAAGTCAAAACAAGGCTAAGTTGGTACTGCATCCCTACAGTCCAGCACTTGAAGGTCTGAGACAGAAGAATCAGAGTTCAAGGCCAGCCTAGACTATATGTCAATGCACACTTAATGTATATATCATTCTAGAAACACAGCTCTTAACCCAGTCTTCATGGCACCCACACTATCCTGGGTTTGCTGGAAATGGCAGTCTTGGCCACCAGAAAACTGTCCACCAAACTAGACCCCTGGCTTCTGGAATGCTTTATTGTCTTGATGTCTGGCTCGGTTCTTTCTCCTTTCCTGGCTCAGAGCCTACCCTTTATCTATCTCACTCACCGTTTTGTGTATCTTTTTTACTATAGCACACCACCCATCCTTCCTGGGCAGAGTGGAATACAGAAATAAGCACAGAAGTACCACACCACAGGTCACGTACCTTGAGAGCTTTGGGCATCTTCATGGACAGTTTATAAAGGTCATCTGACGCGAGGTGTGTCCGCCTCATAACCAGGTCCAACGATGGCCCCATCTCCTCTAGCTCGATCCGTGGTGTTCTGCACCCAGACTTCTTCAACAGCAGCCTTTACGAAAGGGTGGGGGGAGGGGAGAGAAGAGAAGCTGCTTTAATTCTTTTATAAGGTCCTTCTCTGAAATATCTTTGTTGAGAGGGTTTTGTAGTTTCAAATAATAAGCTGCAAAGGCCAAACCTCTTCTTAAACATTTTGGGCACTCACGCCAAGTACATCCTTTGTTTAGTTTTTAAAAATCAGAAAATGAAATTATAGCCGGGCAGTGGTGGCGCACAACTTTTAATCCCAGCACTTGGGAGGCAGAGGCAGAGGCAGGCGGATTTCTGAGTTCGAGGCCAACCTGGTCTACAGAGTAAGTTCCAGGACAGCCAGGACTATACAGAGAAACCCTGTCTCGAAAAAAACAAAAAATAAAAAAAAATAAAAAATAAATAAAATAAAAAAATAAAAAAAAAGAAAATGAAATTATGTAATACCACTAAGAAAAAACACGTGTAACATAATTTTCAAATAATTCAGTGATAGAACACAAATGTTTGCACAAGGCTCCAAGTGTTATATCACCAAAATAAGAATTGTAACTGAACTTTAGGAAGCAACACTCTCCCATCTCCAACACTATCTGAGTTAAGTCAACCCACTCCAAACCAGCATTTCCCAAGCACACTGATGGCGTTTGTAGGCAGCAGTAAACCTACACATCCTCATAACTAAATTACACTTCTTCTTCAACACTCTATGTCCAGTAACTCCACATTCAGAAAAATCTGTTAGAGCAGGAGAGAGGAAGAGTGAGGAACTAGGCAAAAGACAAAGACAAGACAGAGAACAGAAAGTCTTAAGATGTTCTCTGTATTATTAAGATTTTAATAACACAAATTCATGGGACTCACGATACTTTATATGGACACATCTTGTGCATCCATGATGTTTACCCGCTCTTCCTTTACCCCCCAACTCCCAGGCACCAGCAGTCTCTCTCACCCCAACTGTTTTGTGAGTGGTAACCTATGAAGAGCTCAAAGAGCTTAGTCAGTGTGGGGATCCCGGCACTTGGGAAATGGAGGCCTGAGGACCAGTTAAAGGCCATTCTCTGCTACACAGTGACTTCAAGGCCAGTCTGGACTATATGAAACCCTGTCTCAATAAAACAACAATAGGGGCCGGAGAGATGGCTCAGTGGTTAAGAGTACTGACTGCTCTTCCAGAGGCCCTGAGTTCAACTCCCAGCAACCACATGGTGACTCACAACTATCTGTAATGGCATCTGATGCCCTCTTCTGGTGTAGCTGAATACAGCTACAGTGTACTCATACACATAAAATAAATAATTCTTTAAATTAAGAAAGAAAGAAAGAAAGAAAGAAAGGAAGGAAGGAAGGAAGGAAGGAAGGAAGGAAGGAAGAAAGAAAGAAAGAAAGAAAGAAAGAAAGAAAGAAAGAAAGAGAAAGATGTCAACCTCAAATCTGAATACTATATTCAGCAACCACATTTAATAAAGCAGTTAAGACCCCACAAGTAAGAAGGTGAGGGGGTTAGGGGGTTGGCAGGGAGATATTTACTGCCAGAACAATGTTCACAAAAGATCAGTATTGCACAAAAAGCTGTCACAGAAGCAACAGAACAACTAAGGAAGGAAGGCCCGAGAATGTAAGTAAGTCTGCAGATAGCCACCAAGACAGTGCACTCATAGGAGGCCCACTTGCTTGTTATAGCAAGAGTCACAGGAACAGAGATCACTGAACAATCACCTACACTCAACTAAACAAGGCAAAACAGCCTGTGACACCAAGAAGCAGAGGCAGGCCAATCTGAGATCAAGGCTATCCTGGTCTATAGAGTTCTAAGACAGCCAGGGCTACAAAGAGAAACCCTCTCTCTCCATAGCACCAAAGAAAGACAAACTGAAAGCCAGGCATATTGACATGTGTATGTCATCCCATCCCCGGAAGGCAAGAAAAGGATTAAGTCCGAGGCTAGCCTGGGCTACAAAGCAAAGTTGTCTTAAATTAAGTACCAGTGCTGCCCCAAGCAGATGCTCTCTCCCTCAGACCTCTCCTCAGCTGACACTGTGCTGCTGCCATTGTGGACTCTCAGACTGGAAATGTGCTTTTTCAAGGTACACTTTTTTTTCTGAGTTTAACTGAACATGTCTTTAATAAAATTTACCAAAGTAAAATATACGATAAACAAGAGGGAGCAAAAGGTTCCCAGAGATAACCTCATGGTGAGTAGGACTGGGCAAAGTCAGGGACAACGGCTCTGGTAAACAGCACAGGGTCTAGGGGAATGTCACATCTGTAGAGGCCTTGAACACAGAACTAGTCCTGGGACGGATCTTCAAAGCTGCGGCTCTCGAGGGAGTGTAAGCTGCTGCCGGCTCTGTGAAGGGGGCGGAGCACCAGCGCTCTGGCAAGGGCTGAGTCTCATCTCAGGTGCTGAGTCTGTTGTGTCTTCAACTGACATAAACTGTGTCCGTGGCGTTTGCTGACGGAAATGGGCCAGTGGTTGCTGTAGTCTGGCTATGGGCAGTCAACACCACACCCAGAATGTAGCCTGATCAAGACTGGAGAAAGGACGAGAAGACACCAGAGGAGCTGGGTTGAAGAAGGGAGCCAACATCTGCTAGGCTTGGGGACACAGGATTACCAGTGGCCCCAGCACTAATCTCCTGTGCTGGTGCAGTGAGCGTGCACCTGACTGCAAGGTGTTTTTAGACGTTCTTGGGGATGCTTCCGAAAGTATCTAGACCTTCGGTTCTTAAACCATTTCGGGATCTGGTAATCCATCAGACAAATGCTTCATGCCAGCTTCTTGCGTTGCTCGAAGGAAGGATACTTGGACTTTCCAAAGAAGAAATCTTCCAGCTTACTCTTTTGATCTGGGCTATACCTGGTGCGCCCTCTCCACTCCCTGATAGGAGCCTTGTGGGAACATGTGGCTTTGGAAGGCCCCAGGAGCCACAAGTGGGGCTTAGGGGGAGGGGCAAACCTGAAAGCCTGGGTTTACTGGGGATCCCGGAGTCAACTGTAGACCTTTGAGAAATGAAGGATTTGCGAACTTCAGAAATAATGAGACATTAGGGGACCTGGAGGCATTTGGAGACCTTCAGATAATAGAGGCCTTTGGGGCATTTAGTGACAAGGGGCACTAACACGGCTGGAAGCATTTGGAGATCAGAGGACAATGGAGGTCTAGAGATCCAATGTGTAGGTAGAATTTTTGGGGGAGCACTCTACATTAGAAACCTGGGAAATCAGTCGGCTCCTGCCTCAAGGTAAACTTAACACTTCCTGTTGACATGTTTCTGTACATACAACCCAACCAATACCCCAGCACAGGTGTCGGTGGCATGTCAGACCTTATCAGACTGGTCATGGGAATCCACGTCTATAATTCTAGTATTTGGAGAACGGAAGCAGGAGAATCACTACAAGTGATTAGCATAGTCAGAGGGACACTACATCTTTAAGTCACTTAAGGAGCACACATGTGAACACTGCCATCTTCTGCAGAGTGTTGCAGAGAAAGGAAGGGCAGCAGCATGGCCACGGAAGCCCTGTAATCTCAGCACTGGAGATGGAAGGAAGAAACAAGAAATTTAAAGCCAGCCTGGGCTATACGAAACCTTGTCCCCAAAAACGAAAACCAAAGTTTATAATAGGGTTCTGATTTTAAAATTAAAACACAACTACGAATGACTGCCAGGCTAACCCTAAGTGACTTCAGCAACCACACTCTATGGTGGATACCCCTGCCTCTGCCTTCCAAATGCTGGACTAAAGTCTGCTGCCATGATGTACAGCTTACACTTGCTCTTAAATCTGATGTGGAGGAGGTCGGAGGTCAGCCCAACCTTCCTGTCATCCATGGTAGATGGGGGAAGAGCCTGGTGATGGCGGCCATGAAGAAAGCAGCTGCTAAGGAGGCCTGAGCCCACCCAGCTTGTCCTTCAGTAATTCCGATGGGGCACAGAAGGACAGACTGACAAGCAGAGACAAACCCTTAGCTCCATCTGCACAGTCTGCTTTTTAAAAGGAGCGAGAGGAATGCTAACCTACAGGCAAGGTTTTAGCGTGTCAGGATCTCATCAATAAAAATAGAGCCTGGCTGGAAGCAGTGGCTCAGGCCTGAAACCCCAGCACTTAAAAAGCTGAGGCAGGAGGATTGAAAGTCTGAGGCTACACAGTGAGTTCAAGGCCAGTTTAAAGCTACACCAAGGGCTGGAGAGACAGCTCAGTGTTTAAGAGCACTGACTGCTCTTCCACAGGTCCTGAGTTCAATTCCCAGCAACCACATGGTGGCTCACTGTAGGACCCCAAAAGGCTGCTATGCCCTGGCTGAGCCTTTCCATACACTGCTGTCTACTAAGTAACATTCTGCAGTTCCTCTAGGATCAAAACATCCTAACTAAGGCATGGTGCCCCAGGAAGGGAATTTACTCTTGACATCCCATTGCCCCCCAGTTGAGTTCCTGTTTTTTCCTGAGTTTGTATTTTCCTTCCCTGGCTTGGTGTATATATTGAACCTGCTCAGTAAAGGCATTGGCATTCTCTCACAACGGATGACCCGAGTCTGAGTATTCCTTTAATCCCCCAGGCCTACGCTCGAGCTCGGTACCGCGGGCAGCGCCAGAGCTGTCAGCTCACAACCATCTGTAATAGGATCCAATGCCCTCTTCTGGTGTGTTTGAAGACAGCTGCAGTGTACTTGTATACATAAAATAAATACATAATTTTTTTTTAAAATGCTACATCAAGAGATAATGTTTCAAAAACCCAAATCAAACAAGAACAATCTGCTCGTTGGGATTTATATTCATATTACCACTGTGCTGGGGTTATGGTAGAAACCTACCATACAGGAGAAATCACTGTAGTCAGCCTCTGGAACTTCCTACCTGCTTTAGGTTGTGGCTTTCAAATCTAGAATTCTGAAAGTTACTTTGGCTGGCCTGACTGAGGTTAGTACTCTAATCCAGTCAAGAACAATAATGAGACAGACAGAAATCTAGGACGGGAGATTATTAAACACTGGGCTCACAACAGATGATCAGGGACCCGGGAAAAGTAAGTTCCCAAGATCAAGGCTAGCGGGAAGGAAAGATGAAGGGTCAGGGACAGACTCTGCCACTGCTATCTGCAAATTCTCCAGACCCACTGTAACCCCCCTTGTGACCTCCACTGTCACCTCCATTGTGACCCCCACTATGACCCCAGAACCTCAGAGAACCCCGGAGATGCACTTACTTATAGCTCCGGAAGTAAACCTTCCCATTCAACGCAGTGAAGTGCAGAACGTACTCCAGTCCAGCCAGCCGCACGTTTGCTACTGTGGGGCCCCTGAAGAAATCTGAAAGCACAGATTCCCTTGTTAAAGACAACTATTTCAAAATTCAGCTACAAAGTGCCATCTTTCTAATGTGTGTGTGTGTGTGTGTGTGTGTGTGTGTGTGTGTGTGTGTGTGTGTCTGTGTGTGTGTGTAGGGGGAAGGGTAGACCCTGACAACTAGCCTAAGCTGGCTAACTATGATCCCTAGAGTGTGCTGGTCTGTCTCTCCCTCTGCAGTGCCTGGATTATAACCACGGTGAAGCACATGACCCGCCCTTGAGCTATTTGCCCAGCCATCCTTTAGCTCGCTTTCAGACATGTAACAACTAGTAATGTCAGCCTGGCCTCAAACTCCTCACTATGTGGGTAACTCCAAACTCTCTGAACTCTCAGCTCTACCTCCAACAGATGATCAGGGACTGAGGCCGAGTGCCAGGTTTAACAGCACGCACAAAATAAACCCATTCTTTGTTTACTACCATCTTTACCGACAAGGAACAGTAACATAAAAAACCTAGAATCTAAAGACTGACACTGTTTACTGGGTTTCCAAAGAAGAAAAGCCGTCCCAGGTAGGTAAGAAGGCTCAGGAAGTAGACGTGCCTGTTGTGCAAAGCGTGGAGACCCAAGTTCAAACCCTGGGACTCACACGTAGGGAAAAGAGTCAGCTTCACAAAGCCATCCTTTGACTGCCACATACATGCATAACTGCATACACGTCATGTACACAGTAGTAAGTGTTGTTTTTAAAGAAAAGCAGTTGTATAGTTGTATAGATAATCCAATGGTAGAAGGCTTGCCTGACATACAAGGTCCTGCATTCATCCCCAGAACCACAGTAAGAAGAATAAACAAGTATTTCCCAGGAGATTCACTGCACTGTTTAAGAGACCAGAAAAGAACTCTGCAGTCCTCTGTTACCCTTTCCCTACTGACTCACTTTCCTGTCACACCACACACAGAGGAGATCGCATGGTCACACGTACAAAGCATGGGCTGCTGTCCCTGTATCTCATTTAACACATGCCAACAGACCATGCGGTGGGCTTATGTACTTGTACTGGAAACCCAAGTTCCCCTGATGTCCTCTTACTGACCCCCTCTCCCACCCTCTGCTCTGCTCAAGGTTTCCTTTCCAGCTTTTCTCCCTTCCCTTCCTTCATGCCACTAAGACAAAGAGAAACTAGGCATGCGTGAGCACACACATAGATAAGACACACACAACCATTTAAAGGGTAGTTTAACCTTGAACAAAATACATTACTGAAATTTTAAAAAGTGCTAAGCATCAGAAACAGATCTTGAGGCTGTCTATCATAAAAGAAGTGCTTGTGCCATGAATGGAACCCCCAGGGTTCCATCTTACTTAGCAAGGAAGTAAAGAACAGAAATAGAAACAATACACTTCATAAGGGACACATTTAATTTTCTTTTCTTTGAAAATTTTGTGGCATGGCATGAACCCAAGGCCTTGTGAATACATGGCAAATACTCTGACAGCTGGTTTTGCTTGTTTAAGAAACAATGTCTCTGTTTGTACCCTTGGCTAGCCTAAAACTCACTATGTAGATAAGGTCTAAAATTCAGAGATTCACTTGCCTCTGCTTCCCAAGTGCTAGGATTAAAGGCACACCACCATACCTGGCTGGTGTGTGTGAGCTGGTTTTGTTTTTTTTTTTTTTTTTTTTTTTTTTTTTTTCCCAGGTTTTTCGAGGCAGGGTTTCTCTGTGTAATAGCCCTGGCTGTCCTGGAACTCACCCTGTAGACCAGGCTGGCCTCGAACTCAGAAATCCGCCTGCCTCTGCCTCCCAAGTGCTGGGATTAAAGGCGTTTGCCACCACCGCCCGGCATAAGCTGGTTTTTAAGATTTATTTTTGTCTTTACTTACGTGCGTAAGTGCTTGCCTACATGTATTTATGTGTGCCACACGCATATGGAGGTCAGAAGAGAGGATCAGATCTCCTGGAACTAGAGTTACAGAAGAGCCACCATGTGGGTGCTGAGAAAGCCTGGCTTTCTACAAAAGCAGCAAGGGCTCTAAATGACAGAGCTATCTCTCCAGCCCATTTCTGGCTTTTTTGAGGCAGAGTCTCATGTAGCCCAGGCTGCCTCGTAGCCCAGGCTGCCTCTAACCCTCAGGTGCTGATGCTCCTGCAGACTGGAATCAGTTCAAACCACTTGTACAACTTAAACCATTCCTAGTCATAAATCAAGTAGCAAGTATGGTAGCACAATACTATGGTCAGTAACCTTCTGACAAAGTAAGGACAGCTTTTCAAAACTTAGAAGGTGACTTGCGGCTGGGCATGGTAGCCCATATCTTTACTCCCAACAATCAGGAGGCAGAGACAGATAGATGTCTGTGAGTTCAAGGCCAGACTGGGGTACATAGCAAGTTCCAGACCAGCCCGGGATCTATGAGGCCTGTACAACATCCAAACTAAAGCCCAGGGACTAGCGTGGCTCACTGAGCGTTAAGTCCTCCATTGACAAAGGAGCGCAGGTGTGCTGTTTACACACACAAGGTCCTGAGCTCCCAAGGGAAAGCAGCCTGGGACAGTCTGTGGCGGAAGTGCCCAGTACAAAGCGAGGGAAGACGCTGAGCACTTAAGACGAAGGAGCTGGGTGGACTCAAAGGTTTCCTAGAAAAGGACCTGAAAGATGCTAGAAACGTGGAAAGAAAGAAGCTAGCTGGAGACGACAGCCTTCCTCTTAGCACTCTGAAGGACAAAGAGAATACAAGGCCAGTGTGAGCTACAGCAGGAAGCTTTCCTTCTTGCTTGCTTTTTGTTTTTCAAGACAGGGTTTCTCTGTGAAGGGTTTCATGGATGTTCTGGAACTCACTCTGTAGACCAGGCTGACCTCAAACTCAGAGATCTGCCTGCCTACAGGAACTTTCCACCACTACCCACTATAGCATATTTTCAACAAACCACTTTCTTTAAAGAAGAAATTGGGGGCCTAGAGAAATCTCCACAGTAAGATCAGGAACTCTGCCAAAGGACCTGGGTTTGATTCCCAGCACCTGCATGGCAGCTCTCATCTGTGTATAATTCTATTCCCAGGGGATCTGAAGCCCCTCTCTGGCCTCCACCAGCATAAGACATGTATATAATGCACAAACATACTTGCAGACAAAACACCCACAAATTATATAAAATAATTTTTAAAAAGAAACTGAAGGAAACAAATTACAATGAACTCACTCACTAAGTTACGATGAGCTATCTCACTCCCTACTGTGCTACGAAGACAAATGTTAAGAGCCTGTGATGGAGCACTTACAGTATGAAGGGCCTTGTACACTGTTAGCACTCACCAATAAGAAGACTTTTTAATCTTCGGTATTCTTCTGTTACATCAAAATCATCACCAGCAAATATCAACATGGGTTTTGTTCCCTCGGGGCATTTACTAGTCTATGAGATTAAAAAACGAAAACAAACTAAACAAGTATAATTATTTAATTACCAAAAATTTAGAGAATTTATGATATTTTAAAGCTAGCCAACATGTATTAAAACAATCTCAAAATTTTTACACATATACTGTCTCAGTTCTTGTTGCTACATTCACAACTGAGGATCAAGAAAAAGAACTGATTTGATAAATCACAGTGTCTGTCACTTAGATGACAAGCTATGCCTTGAACCCACGGGTCCGATTTGAGGCCATTGCTCTACCCTGAGCCTTGGAAGCCGGAGTTACTGACCACACACGGAGTTGGTAAACGCCTTTTTCAAATCCACAGGGTACAGATATTTAGTTATCACACTAAACCTTCAAGGTCTGTCCCTGTTTCAGAGGAGAGCTGAAGAGACAAGCAGCACGTTTACTATAATTTAACCAAATCACAAGCCTTGAAAATGCACCAACTCGGCTGGGCACACTGCATCATGCCTGGCACCCCAGCACTTTTGGGAAGTGGAAGCAGAAAGGTTAGAAGTTCAAACTCAGCCCTGGTCGCATGGCAAGTCTGAGGCCAGCCTGGGTTAGTTAAAATCCTACATCAGAAAAAAGCAACACACAAAACTCCTACTCAGTTATGTAAGTTTCCATTACACATAGTGTTTTTTTCTCTTTATGCTCTTAAATTCTAATCTTATCCACCACATGTATGACTTTAAGGTTCAACAGTAAAACCCCTTGGGCTTCAGTGACCAAATGTAATGGAGAACTGGGCCTGACGTGGTGGTGAATGCCTTTAATCCCAGCACTTGGATGGCAGAGGTAGGGAGTTCTAGAACTGCCAAAGCTCACAGTGAGCCCTGTCTCAAAAACAGAAAGACAGACAGACAAAAATCCCACCAGCCAGAGAAAACTGCCTTGATCTCACACCTGTAAGATGCAAGTGATATCATGTATTCGGTAGGACAGTCCCATGGGACTCTTCCTGACTTTCGAGGCTGTTTTATCACACTTTGCTACTTCCTACTTCACAATCCTATTCAGACCAGTGGGTACAGTGTAGGTTCCCAGGGAGGTCACGCTAGTAAATCGACAGCTAACAGCCAGAATAATACAGGGGCAGCCAGAGGTTTTAGGTCATAGAACAGCACCCAAGTTGAAAACTTCAGATTCTCTCTAAATGTTGTTACCACTTATGAAAGACAGCATTTAAACCATAAGCCTAACTAAGAACGAGTCACCACACTCTCAAGTTTAACTTCTTAAGATACATGTACTATGTTATATAAAAAAAAATTCATTCCTCTTTGTTTGCTTGGGTTTTTGCTGTTGCTTGTTTTTCGAGACAGGGTTTCTCTGTGTAGACCAGGCTGGCCTTGAACTCATGAACTCTACTCGCCTCTGCCTCCAAGCATTATGACTAAAGGCATGGGCCACCACTGCCCAGCCTACATGTCCTCTTTTTAAAATAAAGGTCAAATTTTATTTCTGCATGAAGTCTTTTCTATAATATTCTATCAGTACTTCTTCATCACAAGATGCTAATATTGGCAAGAATGTTATTAAAACGCTATTAATTTTATGATCTGTATCTTACCTTAATATCTTTTAGAGACACAAATTTCTCAATACCTAGTTCAATCATATCCAGCACGTGGTAGTCATACATACGACCTAAAAGCAAAAATATTTTTAAGCACATAGATTTTCACATCCACCTGTTGTTACCTATAAGGCTCCAAACTACCTGTGTCTTCTGTGTCTGAACTCACACACTCTGACATCTACTTAGTTGTGTTGTTAGGATGTTAGTCAGGAAATGCTCTACAACAGTCTCACAAAGAGCCCAACTCCTTTTTTTACAGGATAAACAGGGAGCTGGGTGTGGTGCTGGGCGTGGCCCTGAGCATCTACAATCCCAGCACTGGGAGGCAGGAGAACAGAGCTCAAGATCAGCCTGGGCTATAACACAAGTCCTGGGCCAGCCTGGGGTTAAAGATTCTACACAAAAGTAATTAAATGAACTAAAAAGAAGTGTAGCTCAGCAATAGCAGGAGTGTTCAACATGCAACAGGCTTGGGTCGAAACCTTAAAAACGTCCACCTTCGGCCGGGCGGTGGTGGCGCACGCCTTTAATCCCAGCACTTGGGAGGCAGAGGCAGGCGGATTTCTGAGTTCGAGGCTAGCCTGGTCTACAGAGTGAGTTCCAGGACAGCCAAGGCTACACAGAGAAACCCTGTCTCAAAACAAACAAACAAACAAACAAACAAAAACACAAAAAACAAACAAAAAGATTACTAACCAAGAACTAGTTCATATTCTTTCTCACTCCCCTGAGATGGTAGGGTGATACTGATGTCACTAGTGCAAAGGTTCTGTGGCGATGCTGGGATTCCAATCGGAGCCTTCAAAAAGTTAGGCAAGGACTCTACCACTGAGGTAGACCCCAGTCCAACATCACAAGGATAAAGCAGCAACAGAAACTATTTTGGGGCCTACCGATTGCTTGTGAATTCTGAAACACCCATTAATCTCAGTCACAGAGCTGACTCTATGAACAAAAACACCGAAGAGTGGTGGCAGATGCCATTAACACCAGCACTCAGGGGCAGGGGGATCTTCTGAGTTGTAGGCATGCCAGAGCTACATTATAAGACCTTGTCTCAAACTAAAACCAAGAGGATGGTACTCACCTATTACTAGATTATTCGGCCTCTTCTTATTATGGGAGCCAAACATGAATAAAGAGCAGTCTGACTTCTTTGAAAAGAATTCCTACAAAATAAGAAGAAAAACCCTTGAAGAACCGTGGCCTGGCCTGCTGCGCTGGCTCATGCATTTGGAAGGCTGAGGCAGAAGCATTGCTGTGAGGGGTCCAGCCAAAGCTACACAGCAAGAGCCTGTCTCCAAACAAGCAACAATCTTACTTGTAAAAACCTGTCTTAAACACATACACACACACACACACACACACACACACACACACACACACACACACAAAGATGAATGCATATTATCCAGATATCTGAATTCACTACGGTGTTTAAAAAAATATAAAGTTTAGTGAAATTTTAAAATGTATTCAAGCCAAGCATGTTTTCACACACCTGTCATTCCAGCACTTAGAACATGGGAGACAGGACTGCAAGGCCAACCTTTGCTACACCAGCCAAGGCACATGAGACCCTATTTCAAAAAAGGAAAAACAAAAAACAAAACAAAAAAAATAAACAAAAAAACCCAAAGATTTGTTTTAGAGATCAACACCACAGTCATCTCCATCCAATTTATAGAAGAAGCCCTTTCTTCTCACCTTCCAATTCCCTTCATACACAGCAAAGAGGAACTGCCCTTGTCTGTTTTACACCCAAAGTCATCACAGTTTCCATCAGATTCTTCTCTTTCTATTTTTTTGTTTTGTTTTTTTGTTTTGTTTTGTTTTTTTTGAGACAGGGTTTCTCTGTGTAGCCCTGGCTGTCCTGGAACTCACTCTGTAGACCAGGCTGTCCTCGAACTCAGAAATCCGCCTGCCTCTGCCTCCCAAGTGCTGGGATTAAAGGCACGCACCACCACTGCCCAGCTCTTCTCTTTCTAGATACTAACATTCTTTTCATTAAAACTACCACAAGGGCTGGGGATGTAGGTCAGTTGAGTCCTTGCCTGGCATGTACAAAGCCCTTGGTTCTATCCCAGCACTGTCTGAACAGTGGTGGTGGTCCACGCCTGTAATCACAGCACTGGAGGTGGATACTGGTGGCTAAGAAACTCAGTCACCTTTGGCTATATACAGAGTTCAAATAGCCCTGGAATACATGGGACCCTGTGTCAAAAACCAAAAACCGGGCTGGATGTGGTGAGACAATGGCGCCACTCAGCACTCAGGAGACAGATGCAGGCGGAGTTTGAGGCCAGCCTGGTCTATATATTTCCAGGACATCTAGAGAGAGCTACATAATAAAGGCACCCTGTCTTGAAGGAAGGAAGGAAGGAAGGAAGGAAGGAAGGAAGGAAGGAAGGAAGTAAGTCAGGTAGCCGGGCAGTGGCAGCGAATACCTTTAATCCCAGCACTTGAGGCAGACAGGCAGATTTCTGAGTTCAAGGCTAGCCTGGTCTACAGAGTGTGTTCCAGGCCAACCAGGACTACACAGAGAAACCCTGTCTGGAAACACCGCCCACCAAAATATCAGCTGTATCTTTTACATTCTCAGGTAGGAGAGGTGGCTTAGTGGATAGAGGTACAAAGCCTAGTACACATTTAATTCAAACCTACACATTGGAAGGCCAAAACACACACACACACACACACACACACACACTCTAACAGACAGTAATCTTATTTCTCAATCTGAGTATCAAAATTCTCATACATGGGATTTCTAACTTAAAAATAAGGACTTATGAATAGAGCATGATTTAGCCTGCAGTCATTGAAGCAGTCTGTTCTGTTATTTCTGAGTGGTGGGGAAAGAATCCAGGCCTCAGGCAGGCTAGGCAAGCATGAGCTAGTACTACTACCCAACCACACACCCAATCCTGCCCATAGGTGCTCTCTTAAAAAAGGTCTTGTACTTACCAGTGATGTCTGATCCTCAAATGGTCTTGTAATATTTTTCCTAAGAATATTAAAAAAAAAAAAAGAGAGCGAGAGAGAGTGACTCCAGTTTTAGTGTTAAAAGTACATTCAGTTAGATTAAACATTGAATAACGGGTAATTTTATATCAAATGATTAAAACAGCAGTATGCCGTGGTACACACCATTAATCCCACCATTTGCAAAGTAGAGGTGGGTAGATATCAGTAAGTTCCAGACAAGCCAGGCTGCAGAGTGAGACCCTGTAACCCCAGCTCTAGGGAGGCAGAAGCAGGTGAGTGTGAGTTTGAGGCCAGCCTGGTCTACAGAGAGTTCTAGGACAGCCAGGGCTACACAGAGAAACTCTATCTAAAACAAACAAAAACAACAACAATAACCAACAACAATGATGATGATAATAACAACAACAAAAGGGCAATAGCTTGTGAGAAAACTACACCAGGTACCACATTAGCATAAAGAGTGAAAGGATTATTCGAGCTAAGTCCTGATGAATCAATTTTCCATAGAAAGGGTCTGAGATTAACATTATTCTTGTTGGGCAGTGGTGGCACACGCCTTTAATCCCAGCACTCAGGAGCCAGAGACAGGATCCTGAGTTCGAGACCAGTCTGGTCTGCAGGATGAGTTCCAGGACAGCCAGGGCTACACAGAGAAACCGTGTCTCGAAAAAAGAAAAACAAAAACAAAACAAACAAAAACACCCAAAAACAAAGCAACTCTAAAAACCAAAACAAATAACTTTACCAAAGGATGAAGACTATATACAGAAAGAATAATAAAGTGTGATATGCTAAGATTTAATTTGTTTTAGACTTTGTTTTCAATTGTGTATATGTTTCTGTGGTGTATTTACATGTAAGTGCAGGTGCTGTGATGGTCAGAAATGTCAAGATATCCTGGAGCTGGAGTCACAGGCAGTTGTAAGCTGTCTGATATGCGTGCTGAAAATCGAACTTCAGTCCCCTAAAAGACCAGTGTGAGCTCTTAATCGCTAAGCCATCTCTCCTGTACCTTGGCTTTTCTTTTTTAAAAGTTCTTATTGAGACTGGAGAGATGGCTCAGCAGTTAAGAGCACTGACTGTTCTTCCAGAGGTCCTGAGTTCAATTCCCAGCAACCACATGGTGGCTCACATCCATCTGTAATGAGAGCTGATGCCCTCTTCTGGTGTGTCTGAAGACAGCTACATCATACTCACAAATAAACATCTATTTTAACGAGTCTTTTTTATTAAAACGCCACTATGTGTTATGAGAACAGACTGTACTATGATCAAATAACTGTATATAGTAACTCTCAAGAGTATAATGAACTCACACTGATAGATAACTTTCTCTTCAGAATTCTGAACAGAAAGAGGCCACCAGAGTGCCACAATCATCCTGACTGTACACACAAGCCACTGCACACCGGACAGGCAGCAGCTATGTTTCCAGAAAGAAACGAGACAGGCCCTCAGAACTTGAGTTTAGCATCCACAGTCATGCAATTGTGCACATGAAGTACTGGGGGTTGGGGGTTACATCTGCACTGGACACGGGAGACGTTGGTCTCTTAGCGTTATTCCAATAACGACCCCGCACGACTGTGTACCAGGTATTTACAATTGACATAGTAGGTAATGTAGAGACAGCTGAGGATGTGCACAGGTCATGAGACTACCATGCCACTTTACACTCAGGACTGGAATAGCTGAAGACTTGTGTATTGCAGGAAAGTCCCAAACCCATCCCCCAAGAACTATACTTGCATAGTCTCAAAGTATCTCCCCTAAATATATGCTAACTATAAAGGGGAAAACAGTAACGGTGGAGATACCAGAGACAAAGCTACCAAAGACTTTCACAGACCAGAGAAGACAAAGGGTGGGGCCAGCGAGATGGCTCAGCAGGTAAGTACCTGCCTCCCAGCCTAACAGCCTGGCCTCAGTCTAGAACCCACAGAAAGGAGGAAGGAGAACTTGCCCACAGAGATGTCCTCTGACCTCTACACCTACACTAAGATGGTGACTGGAGTCTAAGGGCACCCCTAAATGGCAGAGCACTTGCTCAGCATGTACAAGGCCCTGGGTTCAATCTCCACTAGTTCCAAGAAGGGGGGAAAAAACAACAAACAAACGAACAAACAAAAAACAAGAGTAGGGAAACACAACTAAAAGCAGTGTGAAAACTAGAAAGAAAGCCGGGCTGTGGTGGTGCACGCCTTTAATCCCGGCACTTGGGAGGCAGAGGCAGGCGGATTTCTGAGTTTGAGGCCAGCCTGGTCTACAGAGTGAGTTCCAGGACAGCCAGGGATACACAGAGAAACCCTGTGTCGAAAAACCAAAAAAAATAAAAATAAAAATAAAATAAAAAAATGAAAGAAAGAAAAGAAAACTAGAAAGAGAGAACAGTAGCCAAGTTCATCCATACCGTACCTGGTTTACCCCAGCACTGTCAAGCCCCTGGTCACAATGACTGCAGTGATAGACAGTGTAAGACGCAACTCTGGACAAGTGAAGGACATACAGGAACCCTAGTAACTTTTACAGTTTTTCTGTGCATATGTAATTATTTCAAAATAAGGTAAGTACATACTACGGTTATCAAAGAATATTCTGAGCCAGGCATGGTGGTGCATGTCTTTAATCCCAGCATTCGGGAGGCAAAAGCAGGTGGATGTCTGAGTTCGAGGCCAGCTAGGGCTACATAGGACAACCATGTCTCAAAAAAATCAAAAAAATAAAAAGGATATTCATTCAGTGCAAATACTAACATCTTTTTTTTCCAAACCTTCCATAAAGCAATTGTTTCAACTAAGCAATAATAGCAATAATAACAGTAATAATAATAATGATGATGATGACTTACTTTTTATATAGAACTCCATATGGTTTCTTCAGTGCATACTGTAAAACAAAATTTTAAACTTTCTCAACAGAACATTCAGCAAGCAGAGCATGGCAATCTTTCTGATCTACATGTGTGTGCCATCAGATGTTGTAAACTCAGGGATGGGGGCAGGATCTCGATATGTGGCTGGGGCTGCCTTGACTGTCAATCTTCCTGCCTCTGCCTCCTGAGTTCTGGGATTGCATGTGCTGCCATGTTTAGTAAAGCATTGACGGTTGTCATTCAGCCAAGTGTCTCCCTGTCTCAGTCTCACAGTGTCACCTTGTTCTGACAGCCAGGAGTGATCATCATGAACGCTGGTTACTGTAGTACTCTAATATCGCACTGCTCTTAGAACGTGCTTAAATGTGTAAGGACACTGGGAAGGAAAGGCTGTTCCCCACAATACCACAACATTCAGTCAAATACTTCAGAGAAAGATGAGGAACCCATCTTTTTCCAGACACAGTGGCCATATCTGTAATCTCAGGGTTCAGAAGGTGTAGAGTTCAAAGGCGAGCAATGTGGCTCGGTGGGTATGCTGCTTGCTAGCAAGCCTGATGACCTGAGTTGAACTCCTGTAGCCTACATGGTCAAAAGAAAGGGGAGAAAAAGATAAAGGCCAAAGTTCCCCATAAATCCAAGATGGGCATAGTGGCATGTGATTGCAATTCCAGCTCTTGGGAAGCTTGACAAGGTGGTGGCTAACGTGAGACCAGCCTAGGCCACTTAGGAGACACCGTCTCAAAGGGGGAAGTTTTCAGTTATTTAGCTGATTTAATTCAAAGACTTGATCAACTACCTAAAGTATAAGTCCTGAATACCTGTGTACCTATTAGCGCCACATACAACGATTGCTATTCACCAATTTATTGAGTACCCACCAGGTCCAGACACTGTCTGGCTTGGTAGCAAATATCTTTACCCGAAAACCCATCTTGCCAGCCTTACCCGATAAGCCTGACAAATTCATTTTTATCTTAACTACGTAATCCAATGTCCCCTGAACATTCTTTCCCTCCAAACCCACCCTATTGGATATGTTCTCTAAACTGATGTTTGATTTTTAAATTATTTTATTTTATACATTTGAGTGTTTATCTGCATTTATGTCTGTGTATTCCATGCTTCCCTGGTGCCCACTGAGACAAGAGGGTGCTGGATCCCCTGAAAAAGGGAGTTACAGATGGCTGTGAGTTGCCATGGGATGCTAAGACTTGAACCTGTGTCCTCTGGAAGAGCAGCCAGTACCCTAAACGGCAGAGGTGCTTTTCCCGCTCTCTAAATTGGTATTACTGTTTCCTGGGCAATCAAGCTAGAACCTGGGACACCACGGTTCTCAGACACCACACCCTGTGCCCTCCATATCTGTTCCCTCTGACTAGCTCTGAACTTCATTTGTTCACCAATTATTTGTTTTTCTCTCTGGGTAGCCCTGGCTGTCCTGGAACCTGCTTTGTAGACCAAGCTGCCTTTGAACTGAGAGACAAACCCTTGCCTGCCTCTGTCTCCAGAGCACTGTAGTAGATTAAAGGCAGGCTTCAACATGCTAGGCTGTCAATTTCATTTTTTTTTTTGGGGGTGGGGGGAGTTCAAGACAGGGTTTCTCTGTATAGCCTTGGCTGTCCTGGAACTCACTCTGCAGACCAGGCTGGCCTCGAACTCAGAAATCCGCCTGCCTCTGCAAGTGCTGGGATTAAAGGCGTGCGCCACCACTGCTCGGCTGTCAATTTCACTCTTACCAGACTCCAAACACTCTTCTCTAGGCTGACACCATTTGCTCTCAACCCTTTCATCAAACCAATAAATTGCCTGGACAGGCAGGCATAGCCCAGTGACAGCACTTGCCTAGCCTGCAGAGCCCAGACTCCACTTCCACCATCACACATCACGAGACTGATCATATCTCACTTAACAGCAGCAACAGCAACAATAACAACAGCAATATTTTTAAGAAGATTTCAATGACTCCACAGGTTTCAGAATAAACTCCAGCTCCATGTTACTGTACAGTCCTGCCTTCCTTCCTAGCCTCAAGTGGTCACTTTTCTTCAACCATCCCAGTTATCTGAAGTTCACCAAGTAAGCCATGTTTTTTCTCCTCAGTCTTGGAGGTCCCAAGCTTGTTTCAGCCTCCAGCACAGAACTTAATGCATGACACTTACAATGTATGTTTTCTTTGCTCTCCCTGAAGAATAAGACTGCTGCATCCACTAACTCTCAGAACCTGGAGTAACTATTATTGTTGAAAGAACTCACAGTAATATCAAGCTGCTTAAGCTTACAAGTTAGCTATTAAAATGTGCATCAACAAGGGACAGGTGAGATGGCTCTGTGATGAAGAGTTCTCAGGGGCTACTCTCTAGAGGACCCGGTTCAAGTCCCAAACTCACACGGCAACACACAGCTGTCTGTAATTCCGGTTCTGGGAGTCCTGAGGCCATCTTCTGAATTTAAGAACACCAGGCAGTGGTGGCGCACGCCTTCAATCCCAGCACTTGGGAGGCAGAGGCAGGCGGATTTCTGAGTTCGAGGCCAGCCTGGTCTACAGAGTGAGTTACAGGACAGCCAGGGCTACACAGAGAAAACCTGTCTCGAAAAACCAAAAAATTTAAAAAAAAAAAAAAAAGAAATAAAAACAAAACAAAACAAACAAAAAACAAAAAAACTCTGTCTCAAAAAAAAAAGAACACCAGGACCACTGGTGCACAGATAGCACACAGGCCAAACACCCACACACAACTGAAAGCAAATACTGTGAATCAAACTTTAAACAAACTTCTTCAGGGTAAAGCATGATGACATGTGCTTGTCATCCTAGCACCCAGCCTACACAGAAAGTTTCATCCAGGGCTGCATCCTGAGACCTCGTCCAAAGGGGTGGGGAGCGACCCAAATAAATACAAATTCACTCAGAACTAGTCCCTTTACTTTTCCTTACAAGTACCCTCACAAGGTAAATGACTTCCAACTTCAGTGTCTTTATTTAAGGCTACATTTTAAGACATAACAATCACATCACACCTGGCCCACATCAGTTCACGCCAAGTTCCTAAATATTTCAATCTTACTTCACAAGAATATTCAGAGCCAGCCTGGGCTACATAATAAAACTCTTTTTTTTTTTTTTTTTTTTTGGTTTTTCGAGACAGGGTTTCTCTGTGTACCCCTGGCTGTCCTGGAACTCACTCTGTAGACCAGGCTGGCCTCGAACTCAGAAATCCGCCTGCCTCTGCCTCCCAAGTGCTGGGATTAAAGGCGTGCGCCACCACAGCCCGGCTCATAATAAAACTCTTAAAAACAAAACAAAACAAACAAACAAAAAAAACAAGTCAACAGGGCTGGAAAGATGGCTCTTCTCTCTTGCAGAGTTCAGCTGCCACATCAGCAGGCTCACAGTCACACTCACTCACGCACATACACGCACACACTGTGACACAGCACTGGAAGCAGTCCCTCGGCATGCATACCACGTCTCTGAGGACTTGGGTCACGGTTGCGTTTGCGTTCCCGCCTTTAATCAGCATGGCGTTCTTGATGTTCTCGCTGACCTTTGGTTCTCTCTTTTCAAGGAATCTCTTAGCCCTTTTTGTTTTAGGCTTTCTGTACAAAAAAAAAAGCACAATTCCGATCAAATTACACATTTTCCTCATATGACACAATGACAACAACTTGACTGATGACTTAAAACAGGATTCAACAGGATTCAGTGGGAATTTATCAAGTAGGATTAAAGCAACAACAATAAACAAAAACAAACAAACAAACAAACCTCACTTAGGCGGTTGTGTGATGGCACACAACTTTAATCTGAGCACTCAGGAGGCAGAGGCAGGTGGATTTCTGAGTTTGAGATCAGCCTGTTTACAGGGTGAGTTCTAGGACAGCCAGGGCTACACAGAGAACCCTGTCTTGAAAAACAAACAAAAATCCCTACTTTTTCAAGAAGATATTAGCAACAGTATTTTATCATTACTGTTAAACATGTGTTTTATTAGCTTTAGGTTTCTTACAAAACCTTTTTGATATTCCCACTTGTTCTAGTACTAATTGTTTCTAAACCTCTTATTATGAAACGTTAAAGGGCTGTGGGGCTGAGAGATTAAGTTAAGAGCACTTGCTGCCTTTGTTGAGGATGATGACTGGGTTCTTAGCACTCAGAGGACAGCTCCCAACTAGCTGTGATTCCAGTTCAGGACCCGATGTTCTCTTCTGGTTTCTTCTGGGCATTACATACACACAGCGCACATAAATACAAGCTATTGCTCACATGTACACAAACAAAAATACATTTAAAAAACAAAATGACTTCAAGTTAACCGCTATTTTTAACAACTTAGCATGTTTCTTGATGGTGGCTTACGCCTGTAATTACAGCTCTTTAACAAATCAGGCAACTCAAGACTGAAAAAGTAATATGCCCAAGATCTTCACTGCCGGCATTGTTAAAAATGTGCTAGATGGGGCTGGAGCGGTTAACAGCACTGACTGCACTTCCAGAGGTCCTGAGTTCAATTCTCAGCAATCACATGGTGGCTCACAACCACCTGTAGTGGAATCTGATGCCCTCTTCTGGTGTGTCTGAAGACAGCAGTGTACGCATATAAAATAAATAAATATTTTTTAAAAATGTATTATATGTAAGAACCCATCTGCAACCCCAATATGAAAAGCTACTTTACTATTGTGTTTGTGTGGTGTGGCGACAATAGGACATTACTCACACTTCTGTTAAGAAAGAACTCAACTTTGCTTCTGCTGTTTCACAGTACATTTCACAGTTTTCTATGAACAGAATTCCTCCTCTCTTAAATCAAACCATCTTCCATTTCCCCGTCTTGGGACAGGTAGAGAAAGACAGAAAGAACAGACAGGCAGACAGCCCGACCCATCAATATGCATACGCCTTAGTATCCCACATAGAATTAAAAATTCTCCTCGGGCCAGGCAGTGGTGGCGCACGCCTTTAATCCCAGCACTTGGGAGGCAGAGGCAGGCGGATTTCTGAGTTCAAGAGTTCGAGGCCAGCCTGGTCTACAGAGTGAGTTCCAGGACAGCCAGGGCTACACAGAGAAACCCTGTCTCGAAAAACCAAAAAAAAAAAAAAAAAAAAAAAACCTCCTCCAATGAAATGTCATGTATAAAACCAAGTTAGTCATTTACTGGTCAGTCAAGATGCACATTTTTTATTGAATTAAATCAAAGCATGCACTGTTTTTACACAGCTAACTGCTATCCACTTTACAGCCCACGTCTTTCTGAAATTTGACTAACCAGTAATCAGTGTAAATAGCACCTTACTTGTTAGTAAGGCATAGTGGGTGCACAAAATCCATTAATGATGAAAAAGAAACTGCCGTCTACATTACACATTTACTTAAATAGCAGAAAACTGTAAGAACCAACGTAGTAACATTGGGGAACTCAATAGTTTTGAACAAACGCAACCATCACTCAGCGACAAGCAGAAGTGTATAAAGTTGGAAGGAAAAGAAATATTACCATTTGTACCTGTTGTGACAAACACTGCTCTCTACAGTTCTATGACACACGACAGTTGTGACAGCTATTTTACAGGGTAAAATGATTTGGGGCGGTTTAAATGCCCAAAGTGACAAAAGAGTCCAGTTTGTCGTCTGGTTCTTGTCAGATGCCGAGGCCCGAACTCTCAACCTGGTCCACCGCCATTCTCAAAGCTCAGCATCCATCAGTGGCGAGGTCATAAGCCGATCGCGGCTCGGTCCCTCGCTCCAGCCCACAGCTCGCGGTCTGCCACCAAGGCTTCACCAGCGGCGACCGGGGGCGGAGAATCGGCCAAGCCCGCTCCTTCCCGGGAACGACTAGCAAAGCGCGTCCGGAAAGAGCAACCGCGGGAAGACCGCGGCAGGGGTCACTGGAGACTCGCTCCCACGCCATCGCGCCCCACACACACTTACAGGACTTTGTCCAAAGCATCCATCGCTGCCAGATCTCTTAGCGAACGCACGTGTACCAACCACTTCCGAGAAGCCGCCGCTAGTGCCGGAAGAGGCGGTACCGGAAATGCGAAACACCACTTCCTTAGACAGCCCCGCCGTCCGCGCTGGCGGCCATTTTAGGAAGGCATAGCGTTCCGTCTCCCTTGGTTACGGAACGTTCTTTTGTTGTTCTCCGGAAAGTAAACACTTTAAGTGACTTAGTGTGCAGTCGAGGATTTGGGGGCCAAGGGTTCCTCTTCAGGGAAATAACCAGAATGCTAGAAAGGTTGGAGGCACGGTACTCAGTTACCAAAACTACTGGTATGAAAAGGACGCCATTAACCGGGAGAGCAGCCGGGCGGTGGTGCCGCACGCCTTTAATCCCAGCACTTGGGAGGCAAAGGCAGGAGGCAGAAGCAGGCGGATTTCTGAGTTCGAGAGTTCGAGGCTAGCCTGGTCTACAGAGTGAGTTCCAGGACAGCCAGGGCTATACAGAGAAACCCTGTCTCGAAAAACCAAACCAAAAAAAAAAAAAAAAAAAAAAAACACGGGAGAGCAGTTGAGGCACTTTGATTACCCACTTGCTTCTACATAAAGGTACCCGGAGAATACTGCTGATTTGGATTTCCTCTCAAATCACAGTCATATAATTTGCATATAGTTGTATAAAATACACCTTGTAATGTGTACAATTCACTGGTTTGGGGTGCCTTCACACACACACACAAAGTACTTCAGTACTTTGGAAATGAAGACAGGAAGATCAGGCTATGTAGGGATTTAGATGCCAGCCTGGGCTAAAGGAGACCTTTCTCAAGAAAGAAAAAAAGGTGCAACCAAAACTATTACCTAATTGCAATACAATTTTATTACTTCAAAGAGCTCACATACCCACTCACCAGTGGCACTATCAACCTTTAATCCACAATGTTTCCTGGAGTCGCCTTGTCTGATGTTGTACATAGTATGAATTGAATCTCATAGTGTACAGTCTTGTGTCTGACTTTATTAAGTTTTGAGTTTTGTTTTGAGACAGGGTTTCCCTACATCACTTTGTCTGGCCTGTAACTTGCTATCTAGATCACTGGGATCTTGAGTTCTGTGTTCTTTCTGTTTCTGCCTCTTGAGTGACAAAATTATAGGCATTTGCCACACTCGACCTGATTCACCATTTCAAGGTTCGTGCATTTGTGTGTTCTGTTTTTCGGGGAGGATCTTGAAATGCAGCCAGTACTGGCATAGAGCTGTCGCCCATGCTGGTGTAGAACATGAGATGCTACCTTTCCCTATGAACACTGGAACTAAATGCATATCAAGGTTAAAGGCATGTCGTGTCATTCCAGGAAATACATCTTTTGCATATTGGAATCCATGGTGGCAAGAAGGAGGGAGGCTTCAGAAGAAGGCCTGGCTGGAGCTACCTGGGTCTCAGTGGGATAGCACTTAAGTATATACACTGTCCTAGGCTCAAACTCCTGCGCTGAATTAAAGAAAAACCAGCCGTGCTTTCAACCTCTCTTTGACTTACCACCGTCAAGATTGGTAAAAGGACTGGAGTTTGATTTATTTTTGTTTGTTTTTTTGAAGCAGGCTCTCTTAATGTAGCCCTGTCCATTCTGGAACTTGCTCTGTAGACCAGGCTGGCCTCAAACTCAGAGATTACCCTGCCTCTGCCTCTCGAGTGCAGGAATCAAAGGTGTGTGCCTCTACTCCCCGGCTAGATGTTTCATTTATAATGTGGCCATTGACTTTATCAGCCATGATTAACAAAAACTCCAAAGGACAAGGCCTGAAAAGGAGATGGGACACCCACTTGGCTGTTTCCAAAGACGGTCAGCTAGAGGCCAGCCTCAGCTACATAAATTCCAGCTCCAGCTGGACTACTTAGGACACTATCTCAAAATAAATAAGCAATAAATCCATCTAGTAAACACTTTCCCAGGTCCTTTTCCCAAATCCTACATGCTGTTTAACAAGCAACTGAAAGTGAGAAAAGCACTGTGAAAACATTCAGTTTATAGCCAAGTGAGAGGTGGTGGGGAACTTGGGGAACTACCTGAGATTAGCACGTAGACTAGAGAAGGGACAATGGTATGAGACTGTGCCCTTAACCTGTGGATCTGACACTAAGTCCACGTTGGCAAAGTATCTGAACTTCGGAACTAGATTAGGTTGGATGACACTGAATATGTGTCCTCCAGGAAACTCATCTGTGATTTAAACAAAACAAAACCCTCTATATATCTGTTGTAAAACATGAAGTGCTGCCAGGCGGTGGTGGCGCACTCCTTTAATCCCGGCACTTGGGAGGCAGAGGCAGGTGGATTTCTGAGTTCGAGGCCAGCCTGGTCAACAGAGTGAGCTCCAGGACAGCCAGGGCTACACAGAGAAACCCTGTCTCGAAAACCAAAAAAACAAAAACAAACAAAAAAAAAACCCATGAAGCGCTGAGGATAATAAGACTAGAAATAGGTTTCCTCCAGGGGTAGAACTGGTTGCTTTTGTTTGTTTTTGTTTTTTTTTCCCAATAAAGGGCAAAAAGGGGGGGGGGGGGGGAGAAGGGACCAGGAACAAGGCTTGTATTTCACAACTTCCAGTCTTGGGGAAAAAAAAAACAGGTTTGGTTTTGGCCAGTTGCCTTTTGTCCCTTCTTTTTAGGGAGGCATGATTTCACACTGTAATCCAGAGCCTAGCCTCAAACTTGCAGCAATCCTCCTGCTTCAGCTTCCTAAGTGCTGGGATGATAGGCAGGTGTCACCAAACAGGGTTTCTTGTTTTTGTTTTGTTTGCTAACTCTGCACCTGCTTTATCTGTGTCTGTACTACTCCTATCCTAATTCACAATAAACTATCAGAGGACTACCTCTCTCTCTCTCTCCAGTCTAAACAGATTTTTAGCCCTCAGTTTTCTTTTAATCCTTTCAGATTATTTATTGGCTTCCTATAATACAAAAGCCACTATAGGGCTGGTCAGGTGGCTCAGAGGTAAGAACACTGGCTGCTCTTGCAGAGGTCCTGAGTTCAATTCCCAGTAACCTCGTGGTGGCTCATGACTTAGCCATATAGGGGTCTGATGCCCTCTTCTCGCATGTAGGTAAGCACTCCTACATTTAAATAAATACACACAATTTTTGAAAAGCCATAATTTTGCAAGATTTATTATTAAAATTTATTATATTAAAAATAAAAAAAATGAGAGTGTAACATGAAATTTAAAAATAACTGCAGTTGGACTGAGAAGATAGCTCAGCGGATAGAGGTGCTCCTCGCCATGTCTAACAATCTGAGGTCAGCAGTTGCTTGCTGCTCTCCCAGAGAACCTGCGTTTGCTTCCCAGCACTGATACTGGGTAGCTCACAACCACCTTAGTTGTCCCCCACACACGTGCCTGTGCTTTTGAGACTCCACTATGTTCCCTGGCTGGTCCAGAACTTGCTATGTAGCCCGGGCTGGCAATGAATTGAGATCTGCCTGCCTTTGCCTCCACCCCAGCACTTGACCAGGTCATCTTTCTAACAGCTATTTCTCTTTCCTTGGTGGTACTGGAGAACCCAGGGCCTCCAGCATGCTAGGCAAGCGACCTACCAGTAAGCTACAGATTCAACCTTTTCATAGATAACATAGAGTCTCACCAAGTCTAAGTACTCAGGCTGAACTGCAACTCACTCTGTAGCCCAGGCAGGCCTTGAACTTTCATCAGGTTGTCTCTGCCTCCCAAGTAGCTAAAAACCAACACCAAAACCAACCGAATAAGAAAACAATGTGTGTATGTGTGAACATAGAAAGCAAGTGTCCAAGGAGAACACAGAGGGCTTCGGGTCTCCTAGAGCTGCGTTACAGGCAGTAGTGAGCCGCCTGTTGAGTGTGCTGGGAACTGACTTGGGTCCTCTGAAGTCTTACGCCCTGAGCCAGTTCTCCACTTGTGTTCCTCCCTTCCCCGCCAGGACAGGCTTTCTCCTCGCAGCCCTGGCTTCTGAGATAGAGCTCTGTAGTCCAGGCTGACTTAGGAGATTCACCTGCCTCTGCTTTCCAAGTACTGGGATTATAGGCTTGTACCATCATCACCCAGCTAAGCCCATGGTCTTTAATAGGCATTTATAGTACTTGCCCATTTTCCTTGTCCTTATTTTTGTTTGTTTGTTTGGGTGGTGCTGGAATCAAACCCAGACTCATGCATGCTACCACTGAGCTATACCTGTACTCAAGGGGTCATTTTTTAAATCACAATATTGCAATTATACTTGATATTCCATTACTATCTTGAAGTACTGAAAGGAAAACTCAAGATCAGATGGGCATGCTGGCACACCCTCGAAATCCTAGCACTCAGGAGACAGAAGCAGACTGTGTAGCTTACTGGTAAAGCGCTCTATTAGTTTGGTGCCTGCCAGGTTTACAGAGCAGGTAAAGTCAAGCCAGCCAGGATTACATGGGACCCAATCTCAAACCAAACGCAAAATCACCTTTTTTTCCAGGAAAAGGTTTTGTTAACCCTCTAACTGGTTTTCCAAATCCAATCATCTGACTTGTAGCTTCTGACGTCACCGCTCCTTTGCACAGGATGACTTTACAATACAGAACACTTGCTACAGTCACAAGGCAGGAAAACTGAAGGCTAGTCTGGGTTACATATAAAAACTCGTGTCTTGCCGGGCGGTGGTGGCGCACGCCTTTAATCCCAGCACTTGGGAGGCAGAGGCAGGCGGATTTCTGAGTTCGAGGCCAGCCTGGTCTACAGACTGAGTTCCAGGACAGCCAGGACTACATAGAGAAACTCTGTCTCGAAAAACCAAAACAAAAAACAAAAAAACAAAAAACCTCTATCTCAGGAAAACAGGAGGGCGGGGGCAGGGAGGAAGACAAGGTGGTGACCAGTAGTTAGGAGGACTCACTGCTCTTAGGGAGGACCGGACTGCAATCCCAGGACACACGGCTCATGGCCATCTCTATCTCTAGCTTTAAGAAACTCAAAGTCTATTCCAGCCTCCTCAGGTACCAGATCAGGTCATGGTGGACACACATAGACATTCACACATACACATAAAGGAACACTTGTTTTTTTATTTGT